ACCATACAATTGATGCTTCAGTGAGGATGGAGAAAAAAAGCTAAGTTTTTTCTATCAAGTCATATAAATGTTCAAAGTGATGTTCTTCTATTAAGTCAAAGAGAAAGTTCGCTAAGTTCAAAGAGAGATAAACAATCAATTTGTTACTATAAAAAAGGTACAAAAATTATCCGGGAAAGTTTTAGATACGCTACTGCTGCCAGTAAAGTAAGTCTAAGCCAAAGCTAATGGCAAGAAAACTGTGAGCTAAATTTTAGGCTTAGTGATCAAATCTGGCCGAAAACTTAAACCGATTTCCTACAAACTTGATTGTCTATGACTATTGTGACTTAAAATCTACTCCTATTCGAGTCTCAGACATCATTCTAAGACCTGAACGTTCGACCGAAAAATTCAACCAAGACTGTTTGTTTCAGTGCGATTGTTTCGAACGAACTTTAAACTCTATTGAAAAAATGGATAAAATTTACAAAAAAAAAACATTTTATTTCAAAGTTTTTGTTCCGACTTTCGATACGAAAGTAACGGAATATTTGTGCTCGGGGTGGGTTTTTTTTTCTTCAGACAAATTTCGACTTTTTAACTAGCCATTTTTGACGGAATTGTTTTTATATCATTCGAAAGCCATTGTTGTCCTGAGTTTAAATTTGAAAAGATATTTCACCTGTGATCGTTTTTCGTAAAATTATGGGGGTTTAAAGATTGCCATTTTGACCAATTTGGGACAATTACCGCGCGATGGTTTCAATCCGTCTTAAAAATCGTTCCAAATTGGTTCAAGGAATATTATGTGCCATGAGTGATTTGTTTATAGGAGCAAAATCTATCACTTTGTACTTAAAATGGCGTGTGGGGGGATGTTTTCACGAAAATCTGAAATTTTCTAAAATTTGAATTTTTAAATTCATTTTATTACATTTGAACTTTCCATGTTAGTACTGCTCCATAGACCTTAAAAGGCAGTCGGAACATTCAGGGCTTCGCCCTGATACGAGTAGTCTTGTTTTTTTTTACCTTTAAAGTTTTCATGTTGTTTCTGGCTCCATAGAACTTAAAAGGCAGTCGGAAACATTCAGGGCTTCGCCCTGATACGAGCAGTCTTGTTTGTATATGAAATTCAGTTTACTCATGATTTTGCATTAATGGTGAATATCGGGCAAGACATTAGTGTATGCTCAAAATGTTCTCAATTTTTGATTTCGGAGACACCCAAAATAATATAAGACTGCCCGTATCAGGGCGAAGCCCTGACTGTTCCGACTGCCTTTTAAGGTATATGGAGCAGTAATAAACTTAAACAAATAAATCTTAGAAAATAAAATGATTTTTTTTTCTAAAATTTGAAATTTTTTATGAAAATCATCCCCCACACGCCATATTAATTACAAAAGGATAGATTTTGCTCCTTGTAGCAAATCAGTTCTGGAAATAAGCTTGTTCCAACCAACTTGGAACGATTTCTAAGACGGGTTTTTTCTCCGCTTACGCGCTAATAGAGCGAAATGTATCGCGTATTAATTGTCCCAAATTGGCCAAAACGGCAATCTTTAAACCCCCATAACTTTACAAAAAATAATCACAGTTGAAATATCTTTTCAAATTCAAGCTCAAGACAACAATACCTGTTGAATGATATAAAAAATTCTGTCAAAAGTTTCTAGCTAAAAAGACGAAATTTGTCTGAAGAAAAAAACCCACCCCGAGCACAAATATTCCGTTAATTTCGTATCAAAAATCGGAACAACAATTTTCAATTAAAATCAAATATTGAGCGCTGAAAAAATTTGCTAACAAAAAAAAGCAGGCTATTTTTTATCAAGTCAAGTAACTTTAGAAACAAGTTTTCTTTCACTAAATCGAAGTGCTCAAAATGTTGAACAAAAAACATCTCACTTATTGTCTAGTTCAGCTGTCGAACTGTCATTCAAAGGGTCTTTTATCACTTATAGGTTTGAAATATTGTCACATTTTCTGATCTGTATACTCTGATGAAGCTGGTCAAGTGTCATTGATCGGTCTTCAATCACTTATTGTTTTAAAGCAATGTTTAATTCGGCCCAAAAAATTGGTTGAAACTGTACACAAGAGGTTGATTGAAAATGTTTCTTTCAAGAGGAGAGATACGTGTAACAATTGCATGAAAGTGTGGAAACAAAAACTTTTAAGTGCATATTAATCAATTTTGAGAGTTTTACAAAATACACATTTTCTTATCGCTATTAAACCTATTGCTACGTATTAAATTAGTGAAATTTCCACGTTGTTAAAGTAGTGCAAGTTTTGCGAAAGCTTTTTACATATTTGTTCCGATTTTCGTAACAAAATTAACGGAATATTTGTGCTCGGAGTGGGTTTTTTCGGGGGCGTTCAAGAGTGCCGAAGTACAACAGTGCCGAAAAAGGCGGGAAAATTTCAGAATAACTTGAACGCATTTTCCAAAAAGCGGGAAATTACTGACGCTAATTATCAAAGAAAATCACTCCAATTTCGGCGCGAAAATGTCTGGAACTGTAAATTAAACAATTATTTTAGCACCAAAACGTCTAAATTGCAAATTTTCTCTCTCAAAATCTTAGGTTCTTTTTCAGTTTCCCCACCCCTTTCAAAATACCGAGTTTTATGTTTGTTTTACGTGTTATTACGGCTAAATGCGTGATGTTACGCTGTAAAGGATGAAGAACAAATCTGTTCACAGCTGTCGATTAGCTCACCACGCCAAATTTCATTGCATTATGACAACGTTAAATAAGCTTTTCAAAACTGAATTTGAAAGGAGGAGGACTAAAAAAGAGCCAAATCTTTAAGTGTCACTTAAGATTGTAAACTTTTGCCGTTTAATTTTTGATTGACGCATTTAATATGTTGATGTTTGTTCATAATTTTGGCACTGTTGAACAAAGTTTTCATTTTCGGCACTGTTGAACTAATTTTTTTTCGGCACTGTTGTTACTTCGGCACTGTTGTGCTGCCCCGTTTTTTTTCTTCAGACAAATTTCGACCTTTGAACTAGCCATTTTTGACGGAATTTTTTATATAATTCAAAAGTATTGTTGTCCTGAGCTTAAATTTGAAAAGATATTTCACCTGCGATTATTTTTCGAAAAGTTATGGGGGTTTAAAGATTGTGATTTTGGCCAATTTGCGAAAACTAAGAAGCGATATATTTGGCGCTGTTGGCGCTATTAACGCGTAAACGGATATTTAATCTGTCCTAGAAATTGTTCGAAGTTGGTTGAAGGAAGCTTATTTGCAATAACTGATTTATTACTAGGAGCGAAATTTATCAATTTGTACTTTTTATGGCGTGTGGGGAGATGATTTTCACAGAAAGTCTCAAGTTTTAATTTTTTTCGTTTTATTTTTTAATTTTAATTTTGGACCAAGTTAACATCCTCCACCCCAAAGTCGTTTAGGATGTTAACTTGATCCTTATTTTTTCTTGTTATTACGGCTCCATATACATTAAAAGGCAGTCGGAACATTCAGGGCTTCGCCCTGATACGAGCAGTCTTGTTTACAGTTTGTTTTGGAAACTAAAGTCATCAGATTACAAATTGAGCAATAACCATCGAAAGTTTTGATCTCGTCTGTAAAATTTAGCAAAATTTGCCTTCCAAGTACACTTGAGAGCATATTGAATAATTTCCCAATCATTCAACTCGACATTTGGCTAGTCAAATTAGGAGCCACCAAATTATAAAACTAATTTTCTACTTCTAAAACAGCATAAAACTAAACAGCAGAAAAGTAACCGCCTCAGGTGCGTCAACATGTTGCGAGTTTGCCAATAAAGGGTAGGAATATATTAAAAATTATAGGCGGCTACTGCAGCGTAACTTGCGCACCGGCTATCTTAAGCAAAGAGCTAAAAATAGTCAGCTGTGTAGTTTTTGACCTGTTGAACGTTTTTGGTAGTAAGCCAACTGATTTGTTTTCACCTTTTTGTTCCGACTTTCGATACGAATGTAACGGAATATTTGTGCTCGGGGTGAGTTTTTTTTTCTTCAGACAAATTTCGACTTGATAACTAGCCATTTTTGACGGAACTTTTTTATATCATTCGAAAGGTATTGTTGTCTTGAGCTCAAATTTGATAAGATATTTCACCTGTGATCATTTTTCGTAAAGTTATGGGGGTTTAAAGATTGGCATTTTGGCCAATTTGGGACAATTAACGCACCATATATTTCGCGCTATTAACGCGTAAGCGGAGAGTTAATCCGTCTTAGAAATCGTTCCAAATTGGTTGAAAGAAGCTTATTTGTCCTAATTGATTTGTTACAAGGAACGAAATCTATCCTTTTGTACTTTATATGGCTTGTGGGGGGGGGGGATGATTTTCATAAAAGACTTCAAATTTTAGAAAAAAATTTTTTTTCATTTTTTTTTACATTTAACTTTTTATTGTTTCTACTGCTCCAAAAGTCTTAAAAGGCAGTTGGAACATTCAGGGCCTCGCCCTGATACGAGCAGTCTTGTTTAATTTGGAAGAAAAGGGAAATGATTTTTCATATATATATATATATATATATATATATATATATATATGTTATTTATGCTACGCGTAGCTTATGATTTATGTTATAACCATACATTCGGCCGGTTGGTCGACCTTGAGAGACCTTCTCCAGAACGGTGGCCGAACGAACGGTGGCCGAACGAACGGTCAGACCAAAATAAACGTTGGTTAAGGCCAGTTGTTTTATCTCGCTGCGTATTAGAATATCAGTTTATCCATCTATTCGGATTCCAGAATAAGAAGATCATACGTTGAGGTATGACATCACAATTGGTTTTCAAAATTAAATTTAAAAACAATTTCAAGACGTGTCTTACGGAGTCTGAAGACGACGCTTTGCTGACATTTTTTGAGACGACGTTTTGCTGATCAGATACGTCTTTTCTTCAATTCTTCCTTCCAAATCCAATTGATGACACATACCTGTGAAATATTGGTTACATTAAGTTACGCGTTTGTCAATTGATTAATTGAATTTCAGGGGCAACAGTCACAATATCAGGTAATTCATTGGTTGCTTATCAGTTTAACTAGTTGTAAGCAGACAATATATTTAATAAGCAAATCAGGAAGCAGACATTTTTTTCAATTTTTTATCTATAATTTGGTTTTGGCAAGCAAAAGCTGTAATTCCAAGGCAATTTCTTGAAATTTAGTTATTAATTCAATTTAAAATAACTTCTAAACATAAACTGAGTTAAAAAAATCAAATTTCAAATTATTTTAAGTTAAAAAAACAATATGGTGCGAATGTTGCAAAAGTGGTTTAATGTTTTTTTTTCAGCCAATCAAATTTGAGTTTTTGTCAAATTTGTCTGCTTACTAACGAGTATGAAATAAGGGTGTCTGCTCGATGACCGTTTGCACGCCGCAGTTATCTTTACAGAAAATCAAGCACAATAACATATTGCTGTGTTATGGTATGGTTGGTTGCTCATAATAAAGAAGGCCTTCGATCCGTTTCATGATTTCCAAGTTTCAATTTGAACCTTTTTCGAACTAATAAAGTTCGTCATAACAATTTAAAAAAAGATATTGAAATCATCTTGATTTTCACACTTTTGGCAACGCAAGGTCAGTCATGCATTAAACCGTGAAACTATCGCAGAAAAATAAAAAATCTGTTTAAATAAACAAATGTTAAATATCCCAAACCAAAGTCATTTTTAGAAAAATCACTTACCATTTAGATGGCAGCTCTAATGAATGTAGAGCTCTAAATATTGGTGCCAATCTATCATTTGGCATGGCAAGCTTCTGCTTTATTTAATTTTATCATGGTTCAGTACAGAGGTGGATTTAAGAAGGGGGATTCGATCCCCTCACCAGGGATTCGACCCCCTCACCAACCAGAGGGTCCCCGAACTTCGGTATTTATTTAACTCGCAGTTGTATCAATGTACTCAAATAAATCAAACTTTAGCCCCTTTCTTCTCTTTGTTTCAGAAGACAGAAGCGCGTCAATTTTATGCGAAGCTTAAAGTAAAATCCAAATGTCATGAACTGGGTTGGGTTCCTATCTATTAAAGAGTTCATCGGGTTAAAAGTTTTATTGGTTACTCGGTTGCCTCCCCCAATGAATATATTTTGCAGCACAAACTTTAAAAGCGTGAAATGAAACAAACGGCGCATTTTTTGTCGAATTACCTGTAACAAGAGCCGGGTCTTCCCGATAAAACCGAAAAGACCCGGGTTAAATAAACAAAAATTTTTAAGGGAACCGGCGTTTTAGCATGAGTGTCGATTAGCATGCCCATGTAAAAGCATATAGTTTAAAAACTTGCTGTTTCAAATTTTGTTAACTCAAATTAGCAATTTTTATCATCGCACACTTAGCCAAGTTTTTAATTAGGCGAAAGTGATTTTTTTTCCTTAACAAATCCAATGGTCTTCGAAGCTATTTGAAAATCTGAGCTATTTTGTTCTTCATCTAAATGCACATCCAATTAAAAACAACTATCGCATGCTAATAGCCACTCATGCTAATCGCAACGGACACCCCATTTTTTAAAGAAGGTGATGGTCTTTATAAAGTATCTCACACCTCTGAATTTTTTTTTGGTGCCCTTGAATGAATGTCCGTTCATCTGAATGAATGTTTCATCTCCATTGGTATGTGCTGCACAAAGTTATTTTCCGCTTATTCAACCAAAAAAACTCTCTATTGTCATTGACCTCTTTTTAATGGCTTGTTTCCCATCATCCAACAGCTTGAAAGATACGGACCATTCTCATTACCAAAGGCCTTAGTGGCTGACTCGTATTCTAATCAATCATAGTTTCAAAATTGTCTTAGGCCAGGGGCAGATTTAGGGGGGGGGACGCAACTTTTTGGTTAAAGCAATTTCAAAAAGTGCCCAAAAACGGCATTTTTGACCTATTTTTTCAAAAATTTGCTTGCGGCACTGAAAGTTTTGTTTTTAGTTTTCTGGGATCGATTAGAAAATCAATTTGGTTGACCAAAAAAAGGTAGATAAGATTTTCAATTTTTTTAAAACCGACCAACTCCCACCCCCACCCCACCCCACGCGAGAAAATCCTGGATGCACCCTACTGTCTGAGGCGATGACCGAATACTTAGATTGCCAATTGACAGACTACTTATGTTTGAATACTTCAAAAAATATGCAAAAAATATAATATTTTTAATCAATAAGGTCATTTTTCAAACAAATCCCGAAAGACACATCTGCATTTCTGCATTTCTAACTGATTTCAGTTATAATAATTACTAATTTTTTGTTAATAAATTATGTTTAGGGAAAATCTGACCATCAGTCTGATCATAGTGAGGGGTCCCTCCACATGGGTGGAGCAGGACGCTATCTACATGCGGGTGTTGGCACCCAAAGAAAACGTCCTTCACCCTTTCTATATTCTGGGCAGCTTCAACGAAACCAAAAACAGGTTCTTAAATTTATTCCAACTTGAATCTGAATTTGAGAAATTTTTCAATTATTATAAGATAAAGTCATGTACAGATCACATTAAACAGCAAAGCGGGTTTTGAATGTTACAGAACCCTCAATTAGTTAGGTGTTCTATAAACTTTTTTGAACTTTTTTAAGCTTTCAACCCTTGTGAACACTTTGTATCGAATCCGATTAGAATGTTAGATTACTTTTTTGCGGTTATAACATTATGATACCTTTTATAAAATCAATTAATGGCTCAATCTCCAGTCAGATAAACTTATTCGCTTACATTAGGGTTATTATACCAATGCGAACTCTATAAAAGCGAAAAGCGACCATTTAGATGCCATTAACGGTCGCATTGGCCTGTTCGACGGATGCCAAATTGTCACGCAACGAATCCTCGTTTGACGTTTACTTCGATGGCGTCAAATGTTGAATATTTGAGCCAAAAGGAAACGATTGGGACAACTTCAGCATCCGGAGTTTCCGTTTTTGGCTCAATTACTCTTCCTTTTTTCGGTTAAGAGGACAAAATAAGGGTCAATTACACCAGTTTTTTTAGCCATTGTACTAATGCGCCGAAATCAATGTTGCTTCGATGTTATTGAATTCTGGTTGCAAAATTTTTCCAAAGGGTCCGCCTTGGGTATAACAACTTTACGACATCCATTTTTGAATGACCAAACTCAAAATTTGTCTTAAGGCTTGCGGCGCAGAAAACTTTGGACAAAATAGGGTCATCATAGTATTTTTGGGAAGCTCGGAAGATCAAATTAGTCGACCTAGAAAAAAATGTCCGCAAAATTTTCAGAAAAACTACCCCCTAGAAAAACTTCTGAGCCACTGGATTTTATAGAAATTTTTTAACAAAAAGTTAGGAAAAAAATTATTACGAGGAGATTGTAAATTTTAGCAAAATCATTACGCCATATGATCTATATTTTTTACACAAAACTGATATAGCTCTTTGCTCGCCTCTTGTAGGGGATAAGGGAAATCGGGAAGCACAAATTTGTCTGTTGTATAATAAACAGAAATCTGTTGGATGGCAGAGCAGGTATACATTCTTCTGAATCTATTTATTTTTGATCAAGTATTAATAAACGAAGTGATTTATCTTTTATTTTGTTCTTGCGATTTTTTTTCAGGCAAAATTCTTGAAATTTAGCTACGCTCAAAAATGATTTTTCGCGGTTTGACGTTTGATTTTCTAAAAATTTCTTTCAAATTAGTTAATTCAAATTCTTCCTCTAAGAAGACGCGAATTGCGATTTCGGTAAAAGAAAGTGCAAAAGCAATCAGCACAAGAAAAACGTGAATGACCGACAAATTCAATTCTAGCCTTTAGATTTACGGACGTTTAAAACTAGGTTATAAGAGTTGGCTAGGTTATATTTTTCGAACAGGCGACATTTTGTAACAGTAGAGATTACTGCATTTTTGAAGCATAAGCTTTCCCTTGTTATCCCAGACATAAGTGACGGTGTCACTTATGTAAGGGATAGTTCGCGTCTTCTTAGAGGAACAATTCTCGGAGGAAGCAATTCGCGTCTTCCTAGAAGAAGAATTTGAATTAAGCGGCAAACACAGATTACAAAAGTGGAGGGGGAAGGGGGGGCTAAAGCACCGCCCATAGAAGGGGCAGATATAAGATTTCTGAGTGGGGGTATCTAGGATTTCACTAAAGGCGCTTTCTGAAAAATTCAAATTTAGGTGGGTTCATCAGCCAAAACTGGATGTTTAAAATAGTACTCTTTTGACAGATTTTGACTTGACAATGACACCGTCATTTATGCAAGGGATAAATAGGGAAGGCTTAATCTTCAAGAATGCTAATTTGCTCTCGACGATTGTCGCATTTGATTCAGTGATAATTTATGCAGGTTTTGAACTCTTTCGATTACGGTCTAAATTAGTTCTGAGAAGGGCTTAAAGAACTAATCTAGTGTCCAGTTCTATGCCAAACTTTCTTACTAAATTAATTCATTCCTCCATAAGCAGGGGCGGATCAATTTTTATATGAGAAGGCGGAGTTTTATCGTCATATAACAAGAAGATAACGAAAAAGATAAATTCATCAAAGTTTATTGAAATACAGCTGTAAGAATAGATACAAAAAGAGTAGCGTTTTGAACTTTGAAAGCATACCCGCACCGGAGCTCCATGGATAATAATCGGTTATAATGTAAAATTGTTGTCTAAAATGTTGTCATTTAAAATCCATTATAATGGATTATAATCCATTTAAAATCCAGTATAATTCTATACATTTTTTTGCAAAATCATTTGCAAAACTTGCAACATATCTGCTTTACTTACGGCCTACTCGCAATCTAAACCTTCTTGAATTAACCCCCCCCCCCCCGCTTTGCCCCTCCCCCATCCGTTCGCATTTGCCCAAACCCCCTCCCCCACTAAAATGGTGGGTAAATTGAGGAGGGGTAAACTGTGGAAGGGGGTGATTAAACTGGGGAAGAGATGGGTAGACGGGAGGGGGGTTGGCGGTGTAATTAGGGAGGTAAACGGGGGGGGGGCGGGGTTAAACGAGGTATATAAGACAAAAATTATAAAAATTGAAAAGTGAAATGTAACGTTTTGAAACCTAATACGTAGCAATTACACTAAACAGGAAATGTGATAAATTTGAAAAAAATTGTAAGTTTCAAGACTAACATCTCGAAAAAATCCATTATAATTGATTATAACCGAATATAAGGGATTATATTGGCATAAAAAATATAAGAAATATAATCCATTTTTAATAGATTATAATCGATTATAATGGATTATATTGATAAAAAAATAATGGATTAAAATCCATTTTTGATGGATTATAATCGATAATTTTTGTAATTTTATAAATACTGACTATAAAATGACAGTATAATCGATTATTATCCATGGAACTCCAGTGCGGGTAGGTTATAAGATCTTCTGGCCTGCTTCAAATTTACTTTGATTAGATTGACCACCTGTTATTTCTGTAGGTCAAATGCTTTGTATAAAATTTTTTTTGCAAACATGTAAACTCAATTTAGCCTTGGGTTAATTTACATGAACCAAAAAAAATTGAAAATATAAAACTAAGTTTGCAATAAAAGATAAAACTAACCTTTACGCCTGAATATCCCGGAGACAAAAAATTGTTACAGGCGGAAATTCGTAACAAGCGACAGTTCGTAACAAGCGACAATTCGTAACAAGCGACAATTCTTAACAGTACATTAAGAGGCAAACACTGATTCAAAAACAGTATTCCTCTCGTGCTGAATGTAAGCGAACCTGAGTAAGCGTACGCTTCGTGCCAATACATTGGTGCTAGACAAATACGGCGACAGGACATTAAGACTACAAGGTATTTAATAACAAAACTGTATTAGGATCCAAAATCACTACAAAGACTAGCCCCACCCCAATAAGTTTTTACAGATAACGAACCGCCTAATTACGAGAATTTTAGCCGAGTTATTTTCTCATTTGTTGTGTTTATCCGTTTTTTATTTCTCGGAAACTTATTTAAAACAATCATTTCGCGTTTTGTATTTCTCAGAAATGTAGTTCGCTAGTTGGAACAATCTTTTCGCGTAATTAATTGTCATAAAGGTACTTTGTGGTCTAGAAGTCCATCAAAATTAGTTGTCGCCTTATTTGACGGTCACGCAATACCTTGCTACCTGTTGCCGCCTTCTTTATAAAAAAATTGTTAGCAACATTGTGAAGAAGTCAAATGAAAATTTTGTCTAAGCACTGATCTCAAAATAACTCTCATCTGTTTCGTTTTCTAATTTAAAGAAATCTGTGTAAAATGATAAATAATTTGGCGTTTTTTAAAAAAATTTGGGTACTTTTGGCAAAAAAGATACTTAGAGCTATCTTTTGAGTACAAGATACAGAATATTTTTGAAATTAGAGTGGGTCAATTTTTCGACGCAAAACTTTTTTAACTCAATTTTTGATTGAGTAATAAATTTTTGTGGTCGTCCTGATCAATTTTGGAAAAAATTCCATGTTCTGTTTCTTTTTTGTTCACTTTTTGGACATTGCTTTATTACCTTTTTTGGTTCTTAATAATTATATTGCCTGTGGTTTGGAGGTTTTGCTTGCAGACAATAATTATTCTCAAAAAATAACAAAAATTCAAATCTCACATGGACTAATGAGAAGCAGCTCTTACCTCTCAGTCGAAATGTCCCCCGGTAGACCAAAAGTCGCTATCGTAGATTTATTCTTATAATAATCTTAAAATTTCTCACAAAACTAGTCTCTAAGAATGTTACAAGATAGGGACTCTTTCTAATAAGAAAGTTGTAAGGTAGTGACTCTTCTCTTACAAGAAAGTTGTAAGAGAGGAACTTTTCTTACAAATTTTTTTTTCAATTTTTTGTGGATGTTCTTTTTCAAATTTTTTTGCTATGACCATTTTAAAGTTTCTCCGCTGACGCAGAATACAATTACAGAAACGAAACCCCCTAACTTTATAAGGTTTATTTTTGCTGATTCCTAGATATTTTGTATATATACCTGAACCCCACATACAGCACAATCGCATCTATATGACATATTCGTCGAAAATGAATTTTTATCGTCTCCAAAATAATTTTCAACCGCTAATTACCTATAGTTAAAAGATTCGTTACAAAAATTCAAATTTCTCGTTTCGGAATTTAAACTTTTAAATATAAATTGAAAAAAAAAACTTACTTATAATTGATTTTTATCTGTTATTACGATATAGAAACTCATTCAAAATTATTTTAGTGATTTTTTGAATTTTTGGACAAAGTATCTTAAAACTTTTCGTATAAGAGCATTGAAATTTCCTAAAATTTTATAAAAAGTTCTAAGATAGGGGATTTTTTTTGTAGGATGGTCAACCCGGGTCAGTTGTTCGAGACCCGCTATGATCCTAGGTTGTTGTCTGCGAGTGAAGCAACACTCGGTCCGGAAAAAAAGCAGGTAGATATTAAACAGGGGTTAAAAAAACTGATTTCTTTTATGAATAGAACAGCTCTCCTAGTTTGTTTGTCCTTTCCACTGTGTATAAAATGTCCTAAATTAAATTTTGACCGAAACCATGTAAGCTCAGTTTTACTTCCTTGTTTCGTTTGTTAAACTTGTGACTACACTTTTGCTAAACTCAATAGTTTTCACCTTTTTGTTCCGACTTTCGATACGAATGTAACGGAATATTTGTGCTCGGGGTGGGTTTTTTTTTCTTCAGACAAATTTCGACTTTTTAACTAGCCATTTTTGACGGAATTTTTTTATATCATTCGAAAGGTATTGTTGTCTTGAGCTCAAATTTGATAAGATATTTCACCTGTGATCATTTTTCGTAAAGTTATGGGGGTTTAAAGATTGGCATTTTGGCCAATTTGGGACAATTAAAGCGCCATATATTTCGCGCTATTAACGCGTAAGCGGAGAGTTAATCCGTCTTAGAAATCGTTCCAAATTGGTTGAAAGAAGCTTATTTGTCCTAATTGATTTGTTACAAGGAACGAAATCTATCCTTTTGTACTTCATATGGCTTGTGGGGGGGGGATGATTTTCATAAAAGACTTCAAATTTTAGAAAAAAAAAATTTTTTCATTTTTTTTTTACATTTAACTTTTTATTGTTTCTACTGCTCCAAAAGTCTTAAAAGGCAGTCGGACTATTCAGGGCTTCGCCCTGATACGAGCAGTCTTGTTTAATCTTAAATTCATAGGCAGTGAAACTTATTCTGAGCTTGTGCATTTTTCAATCTCATTGCTGGGGAGGAGATTATGAAACATTTGGTAAGATTGACAGCGCTCGTGTTGGTATTGTTTGAGAGAGACAAGATTTATCCATCCAGTATAATAACAAAAAACCTTTTTTACCCGAGGAGTCAAGCAATGCTCTCCTCAAAGAGTTGAACAGCTCATATGCGCATCCTGTTCACTTAATGTGGACAAATCGGTTCCTATATTATTTTTATAGTTGACAATTTGCCATCTAATGGCCTCATTTTGGGACTGCAAATGATTGTTTTGCGCCGAAAATGTTTATTTTGCGACTAATGGTCTCAATTTACTCACTTCAAATGATTGCTTTGCACAGAGGGGATAATTTACCTCTGTCAACATAATCAATCAGGACAGTTTTTGAATTTTTGTTAGGAGGGGGGTTAATTTCCCAGCGAAATTTCTTTTTTTTTAGGTCAACGATCTTTTTTTAGGCCAACAAAATTGTTTTGCCATCGCTCTCAGAAAGCTAAAAAGACCTATTTCGGCACAAAATTCAAAACTAGTTTTTTTAATAACATGGTATTAACATGAAATGACAAGGATCTACTTAACAATCTCCACCCCTTTTAGAAAGGGGGGATTGTTAAGTAGATCAAAATGGTCGATTTTCGACCAATCAGAATGCAGAAAAATTAGAATTCTCAATCTCAATAGAAAGCTCAGTGCTAATTTACTGTATTTATTTATAGGGGTGGAGATTCTTAAGTAAGTGCCACAGGGGGGGGGGGGTTTTGTTAAGTAGATCCAATGAAAATTTAAATGACTTCTTTTTGGTCAGCGCATTTAACGTGAAATAATAACCTGAAGTAATAACCTAAACATGAATCCAAGATATTTGCTTTTCAGTTCAATTTGCTTCTTTTTTTAACTGAATTTATGTTTCTACCCTATTCCAGTCTGACCGAGTGTGAGGTGCTGAGCAAAAATGGGCTCCCTCTGGAGGCACTGGACACTCTGCAGGGGGTGTTGCAGAGGGACAAGGCAGTGTTCAGATACCTGCCAACTGAGGCCATGTCTCTGGCCAGCATGTTCAAGGAGGAGTTCTACAGGGAGGGGCATCTATTCCACACCAGAATCACACTAGAGGCATGCGAGCGAAGTTGCAAAAAATGAATTTTTTAAGCTATTTTGGACGCCGATAAAAAAGCTTTTTAGTGTCTAAGTGGTTATTACTGGAAATAGTTAACCAGAAGCAAAAATTTGATTAAGTTACGTGCGCAAATTTTCAAGCGACCTTCAGTCATCAATTGCGTTTAAAAGACTGGCGTTTGCAAACAAAAATTACCTCTTGTTGGGGATGAGGTAAAATAGGGTAGGTTTTTGGTCCATCTTTTAAAATTAGGTGGACCAAGATCATTTTTGTTTTTTTTTTCAGGAAAAATCCTAAAATTTGTTCACGCTCAATTTTGATTTTTCGCGGTTTGACTTGTGATTTTTAAAAAAAATTTTCAAATTAATTAATTCAAATTCTTCCTCTAAGAAGACGCGAATTGCGATTTCGGTAAACAAAAGTGCAGAAGCAATCAGCACAAGAAAACATGAATAACCGACATTTTCAATTTTAGCCTTTAGATTTACGGACGTTTAAGACTAAGACTTGGCTAGGTCATATTTTTCGAACAGGCGACATTTCGTTACAGTGGATTAAGCGGCCAACACAGATAACTGCATTTTATATCAGTCGTGCCAAATTTACACGCAGCGGCGCTAACTGACGATGCTTTTTTCAACTTTGCTTGTTGTTCTCTCTTTCGATGAAACTTACCAAATTTTTACGCTCGGGAGAAAAAGGGACATTTCGCAATAAGCGACAAAATATGATAGGCGAATCGTCGTAACAGGCGACATTTCGTAAAAGTAGATTAAGCGGCAAACACAGATTACTGCCTTTTTAAATCAGTCGTGCCAAATTTACACGCAGCGGCGCTAACTGACGGTGCTTTTTTAAAATCTGTCGCTTGTTGTTCCGTCTACCCAAGGAGCTGAATTTTTATACAGTCAATTTTTGCAAAACAAAACTTAACAAACAAAACTTATATATCATTGAAAGTATCGACTTCCTCAGATTAAAGGTAGAAAAAAAAATATTTCACTTCCAAGTTTCGGTGGTTTTCTATCAGTGCATTTCTATCGTTCAAAGGAAGGCAAATTCCACTATCGAACAGCAAAATTGTAAAGAACTATCAGAAACTGCTGAAAATTAAGAAGGATTGATCTTAAGGTGCAATGGCAGTTTTGAACATCTTTGATCATAAAAATTGCAATTTATTTGCGTGTTTCCATTTCAAATAAAGGTACCTTCGGATCTACTTAACAATCTCCACCCCTTTCAAGAAAAGGGGGAGATTGTTAATTTGATCAAAATAGTCAATTTTTTGACCAATCAGAAGGCAGCAAAATTCGAATTCTCAATCAGAATGCAGCAAAATTAGAAAGCTCAGTGCTAATTTACTGTATTGATTTATAGGGGTGGAGATTCTTAAGTAAGTGCCACAGGGGGGGGGGGGGGGGGGGGTTTGTTAAGTAGATCCACACCTCCTATAGCACTGGATTTCAGTTGATTCGTTTTTATTTTAGTCCACAGTTTCGACAACCATGTACAACACAAACGACATGGACAGTTGTCAGGGGGGCACATATTACTCATCAACTAACCCCACCCCCCTAGACAATGCAACTGCCTATCCCGTCCCGGGCAACAACAACAATACATCGAAATCTCCATATAGTGGTCTGTGGTCTTCGCCGGAGGAAAACACTACCAGCTGGGACAGTTTATTTGAATACGAAGGCTGGGTAAGATAAAAGACAAAATTTCAGATTCGCGGTAGCAATAGTTAAACAAGATGCATTAATTGAGCATCCCAAAAATGAAAAAGTATGGATCATGCTATAACCCGGATCGAGGTTTCGACTTCCTAGAAACCGCAGTATAGTTCTATATAGAGTTAACTTAATTTAATTAAGACTTGCGGGGAAATTTACCCAATTTTTTATTGAACCACATCTCTTTTTTCCCGCATAAAATTGTCCTTAACTTTATGTTCACTTTTTCAAAAGCACAATACAAGACCTAGGTGTCGACTTTTTGAAAATGCGGGTTTGTTGGTTTCAGACCTACCTGAAACGTTCATGTCACCGATTACGCTTTCCTTTGATTTTATTTATGGCTGACAGTAAGTTTTTCGCTTGACGGGAAGTTTTTTTTAAATAAAATGTTTATAAGAGTTATTCTTAGATCATTTTCATACTTAGATCATTCAATACAAACAAGACTGCTCTTATCGTATATCACGGTAAAGCCCTGAATGTTTCGACTGCATTTTAAAGCCAATCAAAATACCTGTTGGATGAAAAGATGACGAACAATTTGATAAAAAGTTATAAAGTTGTTTCCCCTTTTTTTTCAATTTATAACGATAGTTTAAACTACAAAAATATTTTACAGAATTTTAAATATCCGCTTTGAGATATTGATGTTTTGAGCCCAAATTGAAAGAGATTTTTTCTGTGAGCATACTTCGCAAAGTTATGAGGCTTTGAAAATTGCCAGTTTAACCACTTTGGTATAAGAACACGCGATATTCTCTGTGCTATCAACGCGTAGGATGTGATTTAATTTGCCTCAGAAGCCTTCCAAATCAATTTTAAGCATGCTAGTTGTTTATATGAAACTTTCTGTAAAATGTTTCTTTTTTGTACTGGTAGTTTGTGGGGAAAAGCCATGTGAAAAACTTTGCTCTGAAAAAAAAATCATATCAGCTTTTTCGACACTGAGGAGTTTTTGGGTATTTTTTATAAATCCGAGTCGCGGCTAATCGATTTTCTATACAATATCCTACTTGAGTCCCCAACAAGCTTCGTTAGAATCAGTTAAATCATCTGCAAAAAAAACAGATCTTACGCAATAGTTCCTTCACATTTTGCGAGTTTGTCTGAAAAACAGTAGATGGTTGGTAATAAATGGCTATTATCATAATTTTGGCATATGATCAAGAACCATGTCAGGCAATTTTTGATGTTTTTATTAAATTGAGTTCTCACAAACAACAGTTGACAGATATGCTCAATTTGTTAAGAGAACTTGGCCGTAGTTCAGACCTTTATATAGGTCGCGATGATTTTTTTTCTCCGTTTTTTGTCAAGAAAAATCTTACAATTTAATCAGGCTTAAATTAAATTTTTCGCGGTTTGACTTTTGATTTTAAAAATGGAATATAATTATCAGATTTTCCAGCAAAATTAAAAAAGTACCTTGGTCCAGTTTTCTCAAATTGGGTCAATTTTATTGAAAAAGTTCTAATCATAAAATGTTTTTGAAATTGAAAGAGCGTTAAGGGCATTTATTTTTTCTTTGAAATTCGAGAGTTGTGTTTGTTCAGAAAATCAGTCGGTATTTTAAGTTCTATTTAATTGCTTTCATTGACTCTTTTACATTTGTCTGTCTGTTGGCTATGTTTTCAAAATGCTATTTATTGGCAGAATCATAATTTTAAAGTAGCAGAGAGCACCAAAATTGCAACAAAGACATGTCATGTTGCTTACGGTCGAGTAATAAATACATAAAATTTAAAAATTTTTCAACCGTGATTTTGATTTTATTGTAAGCTTCTGAAAACTCCATGATGCCGAGGATAAACAAATCCAAAAATAAGCACAAAAAACTATCAATTTGAAGAAAAAACTTAACAAAGCACTTAAGGTTCGAGAATTGTTCAAACATGCGTATCCGCATCTTTCTGGGAAGTTGCAAAAAAAATACTAATACTTGTTTAGTTTTTCACTAACGATATACTTGTTTAGTTTTTCATTTATTTTAGCCGAGAGAAGTAAAGAAGTTATAAGTTAACAAATAAGTTGTGCATTCAGAACAAATCCTTTCGTAATCAAAAACTGCCATGTCATAACAATGTTTTTGTGGCTTGGTCTGATTTGCGCAGGTTGCTCAACGAATAATAGTTTCGATTTTAACTAAGCTACCTTAACCCGGCACAAAAATTTCAATCGACTAACACTTGAGCCATCAAGCCAGTAGCGTTCCCAATTTTTCTGGCTTTTAATTCTGGTTTCCCAATTTTTTCGAAGGGCTTCCTGTATTTGACAGCAATTTTGATCTGACAAACCTTGAGACATTCTGAAAGGCTCCAATACAGAGGCCGATTTGACTCCCTGCCGAACCAAAGGGTCCTCCCTTTGATACTTTTCAAGAAATCCATTTTTGGCCGACCGACCCTAAGTTTTTTCTAAAGGTGCCCTCGGCGCCAATATATACTAACTTTGAGGGGGAAGCGCGCGCCGAAAAAACGCAATTTTTTGGTCAACATTTTCCAAAAATTGCCTAAAAACGCCCTTTTTGCATGTTTTTCTTAAAAAGGTTTGGCAGAGCTCGGAAAATCGATTTGGTCGACCTAAAAAGAGGCCAAAATTTTGGAAGTGTTTTTGAAAATCCGCCCCCCCCCCCTCGAGAAAATGCTAGATCCGCCCCTGCTCCAATATATACTGTTTGAGAGCAGCGCGCGCTGAAGAAATGCATTTTTGTCCAAAAAAACTAAACTATCAAAAAAGTCATTGTGAAAAATATGATCTTGATATACTTTTGGAGGAAGTTAGACTTTTACCGGAACTCGGAAGTTCATCGAGTTGTGTTTGTTCAGAAAATCAGTCGGTATTTTAAGTTCTATTTAATTGCTTTCATTGACTCTTTTACATTTGTCTGTCTGTTGGCTATGTTTTCAAAATGCTATTTATTGGCAGAATCATAATTTTAAAGTAGCAGAGAGCACCAAAATTGCAACAAAGACATGTCATGTTGCTTACGGTCGAGTAATAAATACATAAAATTTAAAAATTTTTCAACCGTGATTTTGATTTTATTGTAAGCTTCTGAAAACTCCATGATGCCGAGGATAAACAAATCCAAAAATAAGCACAAAAAACTATCAATTTGAAGAAAAAACTTAACAAAGCACTTAAGGTTCGAGAATTGTTCAAACATGCGTATCCGCATCTTTCTGGGAAGTTGCAAAAAAAATACTAATACTTGTTTAGTTTTTCACTAACGATATACTTGTTTAGTTTTTCATTTATTTTAGCCGAGAGAAGTAAAGAAGTTATAAGTTAACAAATAAGTTGTGCATTCAGAACAAATCCTTTCGTAATCAAAAACTGCCATGTCATAACAATGTTTTTGTGGCTTGGTCTGATTTGCGCAGGTTGCTCAACGAATAATAGTTTCGATTTTAACTAAGCTACCTTAACCCGGCACAAAAATTTCAATCGACTAACACTTGAGCCATCAAGCCAGTAGCGTTCCCAATTTTTCTGGCTTTTAATTCTGGTTTCCCAATTTTTTCGAAGGGCTTCCTGTATTTGACAGCAATTTTGATCTGACAAACCTTGAGACATTCTGAAAGGCTCCAATACAGAGGCCGATTTGACTCCCTGCCGACCCAAAGGGTCCTCCCTTTGATACTTTTCAAGAAATCCATTTTTGGCCGACCGACCCTAAGTTTTTTCTAAAGGTGCCCTCGGCGCCAATATATACTAACTTTGAGGGGGAAGCGCGCGCCGAAAAAACGCAATTTTTTGGTCAACATTTTCCAAAAATTGCCTAAAAACGCCCTTTTTGCATGTTTTTCTTAAAAAGGTTTGGCAGAGCTCGGAAAATCGATTTGGTCGACCTAAAAAGAGGCCAAAATTTTGGAAGTGTTTTTGAAAATCCGCCCCCCCCCTCGAGAAAATGCTAGATCCGCCCCTGCTCCAATATATACTGTTTGAGAGCAGCGCGCGCTGAAGAAATGCATTTTTGTCCAAAAAAACTAAACTATCAAAAAAGTCATTGTGAAAAATATGATCTTGATATACTTTTGGAGGAAGTTAGACTTTTACCGGAACTCGGAAGTTCATCGAGCATTCAAAAGTTCCATAGAGTTTAAGCAAAAATAAGATTTCTAGCGTTTGCCTTTGTAGAATCGAATCTGCATTGATTGCTTTAGTTTTTCAATTTTGCTGTATTTGCACTTCGTTTGTTGAAACTTTTAATCTGACGTTGAGTTGTTACATTTGAATGGCTTCAATCGACAAACATGGGAAATTTTTGTTTGTGACACTTTCAGAACGACTAAGGCATGAAAATTTTTTGTCAGCGTGCAAAAATTATCTTTTTATCTGGATAGTAACAAAATGGCAGCGCTGGGTTTAAAAATATGCGAAGATTTCGCACTTTACTTTCGAAGTGTTTTTCTGAACGACCCCTTAATAATGTTTATCTAATAGTGTTTATCTGAAAGTAAATGAACATGAAATCTGTCCTTGTGGAAAAAAATACCCAAAGGAGCCAACTAATAATGTAAAGGGCCATGTATTGACTATCATGAAGTTAAATGACAGCTTTATGTTGTCTTCGGGCTGGTCATTTTGGAATTTGATATTGCCTTGCTGATTTCAACGTTTTAAAAGTACTAAAAGACATCGAAGCCTTGAGATCAAATTCAAACCAGACTACTCGTATCAGGGCGAAGCCTTGAATGTTCCGACTGCCTATTAATGTCTATGGCGTAGTGTTTGTTTAAAAATTTGTTGAAGTTTTCTTTGTAAAAAATGAAAAGTTTTCAAAACTCGCGCGTTAGTTGTCCCAAATTGGCAATCTTTAAACCCCCATAACTTTACAAAAACTGATCCCTGGTAAAATATTCTTTTAAATTTGAGATCAGAAGAACACCATTTCAAAATGATATAGAATATAGAAAATTGCTGGTTAAAAACCAAAATTTGCCAAGAGAAAAAACCAACCCGAGCACAAATGTTCCGTCACATTCTTCAAAATTTTTTTAAATCATTTCTCATGAAAATACGGTGGTTGATTTTATGATCATCTTGGCTAATTTGAGATAACTGATGCGCGTGATATTAACAAACACTCTAAAAGACAATCGGAAAAATAAATACTCCACCTGGTTGTTATCAGTTTTGCTAACTATAGTTAACTCTTTTAGTTTAGAAAAAAACCATCAAATTGAGAAGTCATCGACATATTTGAAGATAAATTATAGTATTTTGAATTTTAATTTCTTATCCAGCTTAATGCTAGTAAAGTATTCAGAAAAACGAAGTTCTTCTCTCAGCATAATGATCAAATAACTTACACCACTAAAAGCACAAAACCATTACATGTCCTTATTACACTTGAAGTTTTGGCATTCTGATTAAATGACATAAATCCGAAAATTTTTTACAAAACTTTTTGCGGAGATTTTGAAACAAATATGACTGGAGAGGTGTTGTTAAAGCTGAGGCTTTTTGAAGCAAGAACCGACTTGAAGAAAAATTTTGCATTGAGCATATTTATCAACAAAGAATTTGAGGGCATAAATTTAGAAGAAGATAGGGATCTTGTTAACAATCCCCCCTATTGCAATAGGGGGTGGGGGGGATTTGTAACAAGGTGCCAAATTCGTATAAGCTTAACTGATCAATTCTCTCTTTATTGGGTGGGAAAATCGTTTCATGGTACCATAGGGGGGAAATAGTTAACAAGATCCGAAGATAGATATGTTTTCGGACAAATGCGCTAGAGCCTATAGTACTATGAAGAAATCAAGTTTTACTGAGAGTTTCTTCATTAGAACATTAGAGGTAAATGTAAGCGCAGTGTGGTAGTCTTATCTACTTCTCAATTTTACATCAATTTTTGTCTATTGCTCCGTCTTTCGAAGAAAGTGTCTGAATATTTTTTAGTGAGATAGTTTTTTCTCCAGACAAAATTCGACTTTCTAAATAGACGTTTTTCACAATATTTTTAAATATCATGTGATAATTTTTGATTTATTGAGCTCAAAATTAAAAATGTATTTTATCTGTGATCATTTTTCTTACGAATTTCAAAGAAAACGAAATATTTAGGCTGGAGCCTTTTTTTCGTTCATTCAGCTTCGATTGTTTATCTTACCAATTTTGTTGGAGCGTTTCTTGTACAGCTTGAAAGATATTGTTATCCAGAGCTCAGATGTAAGAAAAAAAATCCCACGTTATCATTTTTTGTTGTGTTTGAAAATTGTTGTGTTTAAAAATGTGTTTGAAAAGAAGTTATGTGTTTGAAAATTGCTAACTAAATCATATCGTTTTAAATGGAATCGGGCAAATCATGCGGTATTATCCTTAAAACAGACTCTAAATTATTCTTTTTAGTTCGGATCAGCGTGTCGAGGATTAAATTGAAAAAAAAAATTCTTTCGGTTATTTCGACAATGTTTCAACTAGACCCAAAGTGCAGTCGGAACTTTCAGGGCTTCTTTTTGATATACGAACAGTCTTGTTTGCAAATCTACGACGGTTTGAAAAGTTTCAGTTTGTTCAATATGGGATAATTAACGCGTAATGCACCTCGTGCTTTTAACGAAGAAGAGTATGTTTTTGCTCTTTCACTTATGTTCTTTCACGACAAGACATGAGTGAAAAATGAAATATCAGAGAGCATGAATGAAAAAAGAAATCATTTGCATACTTTCGCGCACTTTTCCGGGCTCTTTCGCAATTTTCTGGGATCTTTCCCTCAGAAAGAGCAAAAATATACTCTTCAACAGTTAGAGCATAGTTGAAGATGCCCTCGCCTTCAACTATGTGCTAACTACTACGAAGATGTGATTTATTCCGGCTCAGAAATTGTTCCAAATTATTTTGAGGCATGTTACTTGTCCCAATTAAAACGATGCTTTATGCTTAAAGTTTGATTTTGCTTTTTAGATAGCTTGTGGGAAATGGTTTTCAGAAAAAAATCAAAAAAAAAACTTTTATTCTTTTTATTTTTTTTTTAAATTTTTCAAACCGAACAATCCTTCAAAGACATTAGAAACAGTCGGAATAATCAACGAGTCCCGATACAATCAGTCCCGTGGGTTCTCTATGCAAGTCGATACATTTTAAGGCTCTTTTTCCTTTTTCCCCCCACCTGCATTTTTAACTAGTAAAGTTACTGTTCACATTGTCCGATCGTTATGAAAATTTACATGCGGACTAAGTAAGGTGTTCCAAACACATTTGGTCTTCATAATTAACCTTGTAAAACCACTCGTTACACCATAAAATTGATGGTTGTGTGAGGTGGGGGGGAAAAGAAAAAGAGCCATTTTTAATCATAATTTTCACGCCAGTGAAGTTTTAGACAGTTCATTATACTGCTCTTGGTGATCTGACCACGCAGTGGGGAGTTAATATGGATTAATGAGAAGGCTAATTTTTTAAATACCACAACAAGACGTATATTAGTACTCTAAACTGAATTGAGAACAGGGGCGGATCTAGGATTTTCTTGAGAGGGGGCGGATTTTCAAAAACATTTCGAAAACTTTGTCGACCTTTGTTTTAGTCCTATTTTCTGCGCCGCAGGCAAAATTTGAAAAGCAGGTCAAAAAAGGCGTTTTTAGGCATTTTTTGGAAAATGTTGACCGAAAAATCGCGTTTTTTGGCGCGCTCCCCCCTCAAAATTACTATATATTGGCGCCGAAGGCGTCTTTAGAAAATTTTTAGGGTCCTCCACCAAATATGGATTTCTCAAAATAGTACAAAGGGGGACCCTTTGGGTGGAAGGGGGTCGAATCCTTAAGGAAAAGGAAGCGTCCGCCCCCCCCCCCCCTAAATCCGCCCCTGGTTGAGAATCCAACTCTTGTGAATCCTGCATATAGGATTGATTTTACCGCTTTTGACCGGAGTTTGCTTGGAAGAATGTTTTTTTAAAGAAAAAATATCAAATCGAAATTCTGGATTTTTTTCTTTTTTTTTCAAATCTGTACTTACTGAGTCAGCTCAAAGGGCAATCAGAACATTCAAGTCTTTACCCGGATACGAGCAGTTTTGTTGTTTCAAACAGTACGATTTTTTCTGTTTAGAACGACCACGACCAAAGCATTCCCGATATGATGAATGCTCTATGCGGAGGAACTCAGCCTGGCATGTCATACAGGTTATATGATACAGTTTGATAGATGTTTGTTAGATGAAACTTTAGAGCTTTTTCATCGAAAATTTTGGCTTTCCACATTCGTTGGAAAATATGTTTTATGATTTCATGTCATTCAAACTATTTTCAAGTGGTTATAAACATGTACATGTCTCAAGTACCTATTGTATCTAGTTATAATTGAATCTTTTGGAATATAGTGTGTTACTAAACTTTCATGATAGTTTTCTCGAACGTGTCCAATCATAGGTGGTTTCGTTGGTGGGTATATCACTGAGGGTTTGCTATTTTATTGTATCTGACTGCATGCCACACATTGTATCACATGGCTTTTATTGGTATGTAGTGAGAGCACATTCCGCTGGTTCGACGGACTGATTCGGGAGACGAACTCGTACAACCCGTTTGACCCCTGGAGTGTATTCAGCACCCTCACTGCCGTGGTACTTGCCGTAGACAGAATCTACACCACTCTGAAGAGATACAAGACTGCCTACGATAGACACCGGACCAGGAAGGTAGTCTGTAGTCTAAGAATCGAACCCCACCCCAACCCCCCTGTTTTATACACCGTACAGTCTCCACCCCTAAAAGCAGACTGTGTTCGAATAAGTCTATACATATATTTTCACTGTATAAAAGTTGTGGTTTCTGTGATTCGCAGAAAGTCTATGAAAGGCTGTTCAGCCTGTCTAAGCATAATCCTTTTGTATTATGGACCAAGGGCGGATTTAGGGAGGGGAGGGGGGTCGGGCACTTCCCCTTCAGGGATTCGACCCCCTGCCGACCCAAAGGGTCCCCCTTTGTACTATTTTGAGATATCCATATTTGGTGACGGACCCAAAAATTTTTCTGAAGGCGCCTTTAGCGCCAATATTTACTAATTTTGAGAAAGGAGTGAATTTGACCTGTTTCTTGAAAATTTTGGCTTGTTTTTGAAAATTTTGCCTGCGGCACAGAAACAGGTTCTTTTTAGTGCTTTGGCAGGGCTCAGAAATTCACTTTGGTCGACCTAAAAAAAAGGTCGACACAATTTTTGAAAACTTTTTGAAAATCCGCCCCCTCGAAAAAATCCAAGATCTGCCCCTGTTCTGGACCTCTATGCATTTCATTGCCGTGTGTTTTCGGAGAAATGTTAGCTCTGATTGGCTGGATACTTTTTTACAGAATTTCTAGCCCTTTTGCGACTGACCAAGTAAATCATAAATTACATAAAGGTTTAGTTAAATGTTTTAATGGTTAAAAATAGATATAAGTAAAGCAAGGATAGCCGGTTGCTGCGCAAGAAGCACACAAAAATCCGACCAAATTCATATTTTATACAAAAGTTCAGCAAGTTAGTAATTTAGGCAAGATCGATAAGTTTTTTCCACAAAAATGAATACCAAAAAAAAGGAACTTTTTTTTGAAAATTTTCAAATGATGTTTGAACCGCGACTGAAAGGGCCTTAAAATGATCACTTTACCCTTTCCAATTATTATTTGTAGTACCTGATGTTGCGTGGAAAACAAAAAAACACAATACACCCGAAAACAAAATTCTCCTCATTTTCAATGGTTGGAACAAAAAGCAAGAATAGCCAATTTTTTTGTTAGAAAAGCAGATTTAGGGGGGATTCAGGGATGGGGGGGGGGAGGGCGGTTGGACGCTTGCTTCCCTCCCCCCCCCCCCTCCCCCCTCAGTGATTCGACACACTGTCGACCCAAAGGATCCCCCTTTGTACTATTTTGAGATATCCATTTTTTGGCTGACTGACCCTAAAATTTTTCCAAAGGCGCCTTAGGTGCCAAAGTATATTAATTTTGAAGGAAAGCGCGCGCCGAAAAAACCCATTTTTTTGTCAAAGTTTTCTAAAAAGTGCCTAAAAACGCCGTGCACAAAATTTGGCCAAAACAGGGTCTTTTTAGTGCTTTGGGATAGCTAAAAAAATCAATTTGGTCGATCTAAAAAAAAGGTCGACAAAAATTTCGAATTTTTTTTTTTCAAAATCCGCCTTCCTCTCGAGAAAATCTTAGATCCGCCCCTGCATTTGACATAGAAATGGTTTTTGACTTAAATGTCAGACATATATTTAAGACAAAATATTAGTCTAAACTTATAATTTTTAATCTTTTATGATCATTCATCAGATAGTTTGGACAAGTTCACTGAGTTTCATTTTAAGGGATATTTCAAAAAAGTGTTTCAATATTGTTATAAAAACAAAATAGCAACAATGTTTTTCGATAAATTTGGGTTGTTTGCGCATATTTTGTTTCGCTACTTTTTTGTCTCGTCACCCCTCAGGGTGGTGCCTCATTAAGTGCCTTAACTTTTTGCATGACCCTTGATATGTTTGTATTGTACGAGCGGATCATGATTTAACTGTATACTTATAACTGTCCCCAAAACTAGGATTATCTTAAATCGAGGATTTTTGTGAGTGGTCAACCCAAATTTCAATTAAGTCAATAATTCTGTCGGCTTTTTTCCAAGTCGACTAAATTTTTTGAGCTCCTCTTTCAGTCAACTTGAATTGTTATAATTAGAATTGAGGAAAACTACTTGCTGTTGATAGTAGGTTACTGGATGCTAAAAGCGACGTATTTTACCTAGCGTGCGGGAAGAATGTTTTTATAAAAATCTGAATAAAAATCTTTTTTTTTTCGAATTTTTTTTTTGGGAATTGCATCAGTTTTTTTCATGAAAATATTTTTATAGGCGTTAAACGACAAGATTGTGTTTTGGTCCGAGTTTTCTTGTCTTGTTTAGTTAGTATCTATCGCAGTCGCCTATTTTTGATTAAGATTCAAAAATATGGCTCAGCTTTACTGTTTCATTTTTCTTGTATTAGAATATCCGAGTCTTGAGAGGAATAAACGAATTTGATTGGCTGAAATACATTCACCAACAAATCAAAGTTATGCATTAGCAATTATTTAACTGAAGGTCGCCTTCAGGGGGTATAAATGAAAAATAGTTCCAAAATTGCAACCTGAAGTAAAGTGTCGCTTTAGGAGTTGTTAAACTTCTTACCTTTTCGAACTTTTCTTTTACAAAAGCCATGAAAATAGGCGTTTTCTTGTTTACAACAAAAAATCTTTGGCCAATGATACCACCAAAATTCCATAATTTTTAATGCCTAAATGTTATCCTTTACCTCTTTGAGATGTGTTCAGAATTTTTTTCCTGTTGTATCTTGAATTTTTCAAGCGTTTCGTTATTTCGTCTCTGTTAAAAAACGGCCAGATTTTTTTCTATGTATTTTTGACAGGTTTCCGGAAGTCCAGACTCTGTAGATGACCCAGATGCCATTCCGAGAGAGAAAGACTTGTTTGTGAAAAACGGGAAGCACAATGGATCCGTTCTTTTTGTGACAGACGTCAACAGTCAGGGACGGAGTTAGCAGTAGTTAAACTGGGTGCAAGGAAAGAAATCACGCTTCCCGAAAATCTAAGCTAGCCAGAAAAAAAACTTTTGCTCATCGTTTATGTTTGCTGTTTAATGATATTCAAGATTAATTTAGTTTTGCAAGAAAAAAGTTTCAAAACTTTCGATTACTTTTAAATGAACAATTTGCCGCCATTTTGAAAAAATTAGTTAAAGAGTTCCTCTGAAATTTTAAAAGTCACCAAATCTGAAAAAAAAATTCTGAGAAATAGTCAAAACGTATTTACTTATTCCGTTCGATCATTTGAGAATTATTTTACGTTTCCTGCGCCTCTTTTCTTCTGGGTCCAAAACTAAATTGGCAAAACATTCTTAGCACATAGCACTAAATTAGAAACAAACGCAGGTCGGTTAAAAATGTCTTTTGTCTTAAAAGGGGGTTTCAGTAAACTATGAGACGGCAGAACTTATCAACCGTTGATCAATTGTTGAGTCAAAGAAATTACCCAATGAAGCTGCAATAGTTTTTGTTTTCTCAAGTGACAAAAAATTTTGACAAAACTTTAAAACTTATTATCAAATTGACAAAATGATTTTGGTAGCCTCCTAAATTGTACAATAACCGTCACGTGAAGAGATTCAAGAGGATACAGACTAAAAAAATCTCAATCAAAGCGTTCTCTATAATTATAAACTAGTGCACACTGTTGCATTTTTTTAAAAACCGCATGTAGGTTGAACTTTGAACTGATTCGGCTAAAACCAGCTACAGTGAATAGTTATTATATAACTTGAATGGGTAATCGAGAAGATATCTAACTTAAGTACAAGAGTCCCGAGGTACATAAATGACAAAAAATAGTGTTCAAGAGTGACAAAACAAGTGCCAAAAGCAAAAGTAATCGAAAGATGCTCAGTTTTGACAAAACAGTGGTAATTAGCCAATATAAATGGGGTGCATCTTGTAAAACAAAAAAAACTGCTCTTATCAGGGCAAAGCTTTGAATGTTTCGACTGCCTTTTAAGGACCTTGGTGTATTCTTCTTATGACAAAAATGATGCAACTTTTTCCAGTGCACTGAAACACAATTAGATCAGCGTGCAAAACCAACCCAAAATCAGTTATAATACTCGAGAATTTTTTATAATCGTTTCATCAAAAGTATTTGATTTTGAATGTATTGCTTATATTTTGCAAAAACTCATAGTTATCTGGAGTGTCACTGCAATTGTTTCAATAAAAACTTTTTCAGATTCAATTTTTAGAGTGGGTTGAATTTAGAGATTTCCATTAGGATCAGTTTTTGATTAGAAACTGAGTTCAGAAAAAAATGTTTTGAAATAAAATAAATCAAAACAAGGCCAGAAAAAAACCTAAGTAATTTTTTGCATCTTCTACGATTTTCTTTATTTAAATTTTTGTGTTTTAAAAAATCAACCTAGTCGCAATTTGATAGTCTCCGCTTACGCATCAATAGCGCAAAACATATCGCGCGTTAATTGTCCCAAAATGACAAAACTGGCAATCTCGAAACCTTCATATCTTTTTTAAAAAATACTCAAAATTAATTTTTAAATTTTGAGCTCAAGACAACAGTACCTTTTGGCCAATACAAAAAAATGGTCAAAAATTCTTGGAGGAAAAATGGATTTTTTTGGAGGAATAATACCAGACAGAGCAGAGCGTATATATTCCTTAACTTTTTTAGAAAGTTAGAACAGCAACACTTCGCTCATTTTGTGTTTTCAAACAATTTTAGCAAATAATTGCATCGATAATTGACAAAGTTAATTCAAAACAGTTGTATCAATCTAAGTCCACAGGAACATGAGGAAAAACTAATCGAAATAGGACAGATCATGAACAACCATCAAGCGTCGTCTTTTGTCAGTGATTAACACGTTTTTCTATTTCAGCACTCTTGTTCATTGGTACTCTGGAACGCCCCGATATCTAGTACGTCATATTGTAACCACGATAACTTGAAATACAGCTGGTTTTGACATCATAGACAAACATCCAAATCATCTTTGATAAACCTTAAATTCAAAATTGGAAAAAAAAATCCAACTGTTGCTTGATTAATTTAAATTTTTTAATGTTGCCATTTTAAAAACACAAAAACAGAGAGTAATTATAATTGCAGCTGAATAAATTACAATTTTTCAGATGCATAAGACTCTATTGTTGCCTTAACAAATGCAATGGTAAGTATAAATTACGTGGAATTTGATAAAATTACTCGAGCTGGGTTGAGTTCTGATAAATTGAGGCTAGTTATTTGTTTCAATGTTTGGGTTACTAGAAGCAAAAAAAATGAATCTTTAGTTTTATTTGACGTTGTTGTTGTTGTTGCTTCATAAGAGTTCTCTAAATGCGTTTTTCAAAAAAAATGTAGAAATTGTGAGTTTTGCCGGTTTATTCAAAAAGTTTTTTTTTTTAAAAAGAGAAGCAATTAGATTAGTGTGCGAAACCAACAAAAAAATCAATCATCATAATGGTCACTTGTAATTATAAACATATATATTCGTTGGATCAAAATTATTGCTTCATAAGAGTTCTCTAAATGCGTTTTTCAAAAAAAATGTAGAAATTGTGAGTTTTGCCGGTTTATTCAAAAAGTTTTTTTTTTTTAAAAGAGAAGCAATTAGATTAGTGTGCGAAACCAACAAAAAAATCAATCATCATAATGGTCACTTGTAATTATAAACATATATATTCGTTGGATCAAAATTATTTAACTTTAAGTGTAATGCTTATATATTGCAACAAGTCTTAGATAGTTAACCTGGGAGTCGCTACAATCTTTTTTATAAAAAACTTTATTTTCAATTTTTTTTCAGACTGAATTGAGGATTGATTATTTTAGCATCCATTAAGCACAGTTTTTGAACGGAAACTGAATTCAGAAGCAAAAATGTATTGAAATATGAAAAACCATAATGAGGCATGAGAACTCAAGTAGTATTTTCTTTTACCATTTTCTTCATTTATTGTTTTTGTTTTGAAAATTCAATCTAGTGGCAAGTGCGTAGTCTGAAGCTCAAAAAATGATCAAATAGTTCTGCTCGCTCGTTTTTGCTTGTTTTTTTCCATGCTAATATTTCGACGCTTTTGAATTTTTGAACGGATTTTCCTTTCTACTTTTAAAATATATCATTACTCAGTGTTCTCAGTAAAAACATCTCTGCTATTTTTGTAGGCTTTTGAGCTTTGCCAATTTCGTCAGCAAATCAGTAATTGCCCGTATTACTGCTTCAACTCTCGTAGAAAATGATCAGTGATGATTGCAGCGGTTTGTTATTCAGATCAGTCTTGGCGATTAAAATAACTATTCGGAGCGAAAAAAATGAGAAAATCAACTATTTCAATATTAATTTAAAAAATAGGTTTCATCTGCAAACTTTTCCATAAAGTTCTGGATGTTTATAAGTTTTCAATTAAACCTTGTTTTGAGCAAATTTATGCGCGCTCTGAAGGTTTTATCTATGATGCTGATACTGTACCGCGATTTAATAATGAGTGGCTAATTATCAGCACTTAATTGTTCCATCGTCACCTCAGGCCGGCTAACCAGTTATAATCCTGGTTCTGAAGAAATTGACAAAAAATTTGTGCTTTTTAATGTCCTAATGAGCCGTTTTTGAACAAAATTGTTCTATATGTCATCTTCAAAAAAAGTGACGTTTTCTGTTCGAAATCAAAACAACTGGTCATCTGTGATCACTTTTAATAAAAATCTAAGAATTATTAAATTGCTATTTTGGCCAACTTGAGATAGTAAATGCCAATAGTTTTGTCTCTTTGTAGCATTTAGGCTCCTTGTAGCGTGTGGAGGAGGTTTAATTCTAGGATGTTACTGGAGGATGTCTGGAGGATGTTACTAGACACTAAATAGATCACTGCGTACATTTATAAAGGTGCGGGGTACATTTTCAAAAAAAAAGTTCTGAAACTTTTGTCAACTTTTAAATCTAAAAAACTTCAAATAGACACAGGGATAGCCGGTTGCTGTGCAATTAGCACAGAAATTTCGGACCACATCCAAAAAAAAATGTTTTGTTTTTACTTTCTTCAAAATAGCGTCTTTTTCAGTGGGCTCCGAGAACTATGCGATTACGCAGAAAATTAGTGAACTATGCGTGACCAACAACATTTGATTTCAAAAATGATTGAAAAACAAAAAAAAATTAAGGAAAAAGTTTTAATAATAGATTTCCATATGACGAGCGCCACTCGATTGCATTACTCGCCCAAATTTAGATAAAATCTCAGATCAAACAAAAATTTAAATCACTTTTTCTCGAAACTGGGACAATTTTTGAAAATTTTGTTGTGTCATTCGAACTATTACTGGAAGGATTGTACAATGATATATTACTCGACCTATTACTTGTGATACTTGAATTTGAGTAGAAAAAACTAAACACATGCGAATACAAAGTTCCTTCCCCATTTCCAATGGTCAGAACAAACATTACAGTTGAATTAGCCTGTAGGTGATTATTCTTTCATATAAACTATACCAATATTTATTGAGGCAAACTATTTTGAGAAAATCGCCTCACTAGAGGCAAAAAATCACTTTGTAATTGACATTGCATGTGGTTGGAAATACGTATTCGCGTTGTTAGGCTCATATTTGCGAGCCGCTGTTGTGTACTTGGTTGAAACCTTCTTAAGATGTGTAATATTTTGTACGATTGGTCACCATGCAAAAGAAATCATTCTCTGAATGTGTTTTTCTGATTCAACTAAATCAAAAGTCTCGAGTACTCAAATATGAATCAACTCTTAGCTACACTAGTGAACAAAATTATGTGTTTTTCTGATTCAATTAAATCAAAAGTCTCGAATACTCAAATAAGAATCAACTCTTAGCTACACACTAGTGGACAAAATTAAGCGCAAATTCAAGATTTTACTATAAAAAATGCCTCTTTTCAATGTACATTTTGGACAACATTTCTTTCGAAACCCAGTAAAAGTTTTACCTTGAACGAGATTAAATGATCGGAGCCACCATCTATGAAAGTGTCAGTTTTTGGTTTCAATGACTTACCAAAATAATCCGGGTCTGAAAATGCCAGTTTTCCTCATCTGCACTAAATTTT